CCAATCCATCCCTGTCCCATCCCCGTCCTTCCCAATCCATCCCTGTCCCATCCCCGTCCTTCCCAATCCATCCCTGTCCCATCCCCGTCCTTCCCAATCCACCCCAGTCCCATCCCCGTCCTTCCCAGTCCCATCCCCGTCCTTCCCAATCCATCCCTGTCCCATCCCCGTCCTTCCCAATCCACCCCAGTCCCATCCCAGTCCTTCCCAATCCATCCCTGTCCCATCTCAGTCCACCCCAGTCCCATCCCAGTCCTTCCCAATCCACCCCAGTCCCATCCCCGTCCTTCCCAATCCATCCCAGTCCCATCCCAGTCCTTCCCAATCCCATTCAATCCCAATACACGAAGGCTTAAAGCACTTTAATCACAAAAATAGAGCTCTGTGCAGCGGCACCTATAAAAAGGGGGTTTGGGGGTGGCGGGGGCCAGGGCGGGTGCCCCCACACCCGGGTCAGGAGCAGGCAGGGGGGCCCCCGGGGTGGGGGGCACAGGCTGGGGTGCCCCCGAAGAAGGTGGGCTCGGTGAGGGGGTGCAGGAGCAGGAGGAAGAGCAGGACCCCCAGCAGGTAACAGGGCAGCAGCGCCCGGCGCCGGGGGTGCTCCAGCGCCGCCCCCACCGCCGGGAAGCCCATGGAGTTGCAGAAGGAATGACACAGCACCGGGCCCGCCAGGTGACCTGCAGGAGGGATGGACAGAGCGACAGAGCCGTGCAGACCCCCCCCCCGGACCCGCTGTACCCCCCCCCGAAGCCTGCACCCACCTGTCCTGAGGAAGAGGAAGGCCGTGTAGGCGCCGAAGACGGCAGTGTAGGAGAACTGGAAAGCTATGGGAAGGAGGAAAAGGGGGTTTGGAGGGGCCTGCATCCCCCCCCAGGCTCCCCACACTGCTCCAGGCATTCCACATCCCCCCCCCAGACACCCCAAGTTATCCTTCAGCACCCCAACATCTCCCCTCCAGGCAGCCCAAATCCCCCTTGAGCACCCCATGTGCCTCCCCCAGCACCACAATATCCCACCCAGGCACTCCAAATCCCCCTTAAGAACACTATGTACCCCCCCAGGCACTCCAAATCCCCCTTAGTCCCCCTGTGTCCCCCCAGGCACCCACTCCATATGCCCCTTCCAGCTCCCCAAGCCCTCCCCACCAGCCTGGGCCCCCATAGGGGTACCTGCTGACATGAAGATGCTGCTGACAGAGCCCTGTCGGAACCGGAGCTGTTCAATGACGTGGTGGAAATGAGCTGGGGGGTGAGAACGGGGCTGTGAGGGTGGGTTTGGGGGGGCCAAGGGGGGGTCCCCGGTATGGGGTTCACTCACCCACACCAAAGAAGAGGGGGCAGGCGAGGACGGCAGGGCCGGGCCCGGTGCAGGGCACCAGCATGGGCAGCATGCAGGCACGGAACACCAGCTCCTCCGTCAGCGGGGCCACCACTTGGTTCCGCAGCCAGCGCACGTCCCCCAGGCACAGCACCCAGAACCTGGGGTCTGCAGCACATAGAAGGGGTTTGGGGGGGGGCAAGGACAGACCCCAAACCTCCTCTTGCTGCCCCCCAAACCTGCTGCCCCATTCACTGTTCCCTGACCCCACAGTTCCACCCCCCAAAGCCCATCAGTGCCCAACTGCCTCCCCCCCACCCCATTACCCAGCACCCTGGTTGGGACACCCCCCAAGAAGTTGTGTCCCCCCCCCTTACCGAAAGCCACCCTGATGCCATCAAGCCAGCGCCAGGGACAGTCCATGGAGAGCTGGATGAGGGGTCCCAGGAAAAGGATCTGGGGGGCATGGGGGGCTTAAAGGCGGCCTGGGTGGGGGTCAGGGGGCTGGTGCCCCCCATTCCCCCCCAAGCCCCACACGTACCATGGTGAGCAGCAGTGGCAGCAGCGTGGCTGGCACCAGCCCCTCCAGGCGCAGCCCCAGCAGTGCTGGCAGGGGGGTGTCGAGCTGTGGGGAGGAAATGGGGGGTTAGCACCACATGTGGGGGGGGGTGTCCCCCCCCAACCCGGGTCACAGCCACCCCCACACTCACCTTGACACCCGTCAGCTCCTTCCAGAGCCACACAAAGGCCGGGGAGAGCCCCGACACCACCAGGACGCTGGTGAAGCGCCGCTTGATGACAGATGGATGGTCCCTGTGGCCAAGGGGGGGGGTGAGTGTGGGGTACGGGGGGGATGCCCCCCATTGCCCCCACCCCCCAGACACTAAAGAGCTCCCCCAGGCCCTCCCACCTCCTTCATATACTCCATAACCCCCCCACCAATCTAAACACCCTGTCCCGAGTGCCCTCAATGCACTCCAGCCCCCCAGGCACCACTTAAACCCCACCGGCTATGCTACAGACCACCCCAGCCCCCCCAGCGCCCTATAGACCCTCCAGAACCCCTCCAGACCCCCACGGAACCTAACCCCCCCCCCAGACCGCCCCCAAGCACCCCATAACCCCCCCCTAGAGCGCCTCATGTACCCGACAGACCCCCCCCAAGCACCCTACAGACCCCCAGCGCCCCCCGCCGCCCCGGTCCGTACCGCGGCAGGGGGCTGCCCCACACGTAGAGGCTGCCCACGTAGGAGCAGGCCAGGCTGAGGCAGGCGAGCACCGCGGCCCAGCACGGCCCGGGGCCGGCGGAGGGGGCCGGGGCCGCTCCGGGACCCGTTCCGGGGCCCGGCCCGGTTCGAGCCGGAGCGGCCGCGGCCCAGGACGAGGCGCCCGCGGGCTGCGACAGCGCCATGGCGGGGGGGCGGGGCCAGCCCCGGGGGGGGCGGGGTCTGGGCTGGAGGGGCGGGGCCAGCGCCAGGTGCTGCAGGGCGGGGGCGCGGAGGGAGGGGCTTGGAGGAATGGGAGTGAGTTGGAAGGGGCGGGGCTTAAGGTGAAGGGCGGGGCTTTGGTAGGGGGCGGGGCGTAAGGGGGCGGGGCAATGGCGTGGGAACTGAGTGGGAAAAGGGGGTGGGGGAACTGGGACCCAGTGGGGCGAAGGGGAGCAACTGGGAAAACTGGGACCAGGGGGGGACTGGGAGTGACTGGGTGAAATGGGAGCGACTGGGAGAACTGGGACCTGTGGGGGACTGGGACCGGGGGGGACTGGGAGTGACTGGGAGAACTGGGATCAGTGGGGGATTGGGACCGGGGGGGCACTGGGAGTGACTGGGAGAACTGGGATCAGTGGGGGATTGGGACCGGGGGGGCACTGGGAGTGACTGGGAGAACTGGGACCTGTGGGGGATTGGGACCAGGGGGGCACTGGAAGTGACTGGGAGAACTGGGACCTGTGGGGGATTGGGACCAGGGGGGCACTGGAAGTGACTGGGAGAACTGGGACCTGTGGGGGATTGGGACCGGGGGGGGCACTGGGAGTGACTGGGAGAACTGGGACCTGTGGGGGATTGGGACCAGGGGGGCACTGGGAGTGACTGGGAGAACTGGGACCTGTGGGGGATTGGGAGTGACTGGGTGAAATGGGAGCGACTGGGAGAACTGGGACCTGTGGGGGATTGGGACCAGGGGGGCACTGGGAGTGACTGGGAGAACTGGGACCTGTGGGGGACTGGGACCAGGGGGGCACTGGGAGTGACTGGGAGAACTGGGACCTGTGGGGGATTGGGACTGGGGGGGGCACTGGGAGTGACTGGGTGAAATGGGATCAGTGGGGGATTGGGACTGGGGGGGCACTGGGAGTGACTGGGAGAACTGGGATCAGTGGGGGATTGGGACCAGGGAGGCACTGGGAGTGACTGGGAGAACTGGGACCTGTGGGGGATTGGGACTGGGGGGGGCACTGGGAGTGACTGGGAGAACTGGGATCAGTGGGGGATTGGGACCAGGGAGGCACTGGGAGTGACTGGGAGAACTGGGACCAGTGGGGGATTGGGACCAGGGGGGCACTGGGAGCAATTGGGAGAACTGGGACCTGTGGGGGATTGGGACCAGGGGGGCACTGGAAGTGACTGGGAGAACTGGGATCAGTGGGGGATTGGGACCAGGGGGCACTGGGAGCGACTGGGAGAACTGGGACCTGTGGGGAACTGGGACCAGTGGGGGACTAGGAACAACTGGGAGAACTGGGACTAGTAGGGGATTGGGACCAATGGGGAACTGGGATTGACTGGAAGAACTGGGACCAGTAGAGAACTGGGACCAGTGGGGGACTGGGAAAACTGGGACTGACTGGGAGAACTAGGAGCAACTGGGAGAATGGGGAGCAACTGTGGCACTAGGACCAACAAAGGAAACTGGGATCAACGGGGGGAATGGGAGACTGGGGCAGCCAGAACCAGGTGGGACCGGGTGAACTGGGTGAACTGGGCTGGCACATGGCAGAGGGTTGGGCTCCATCCCTGTCCCTTAGGCCATCCATTGGGCCACCTCGTGCAGCAACACCTGCGGGATGGGGGGGGATCAATGGGGTTTAATGGGGGAGTAAAAGGGGAGCCACCCCCACAGTGACACCCACCTGCCCCTGGCTGCTCTGGGAACCCTCCTCATCCTCCTCCTCCTCTTCCTCCTCCTCCATTTGCCCGCTCTGCACACGGGGATGCTCCAGTGGGGATCCTGGGAGGGGTCAAAGGGGGGTTCTATGGGGCTGGGGGTGGCTGTGGACCCCCCACCCCGGCGTGTCCCTCACCCCCCTGGGGGTCCTTGGGGGTCTCGCAGGAGCCGATGGGCAGCAGCCGCCTGTGGGTGACCTCAGCCAAGCTCTGCCGAGCAGCCACCACCAAAGCCGGGGTGTCCTCGACCTATGGGGACATCAGGAAGGGGAGCGGGGGGGGGGGGTGAAACCCTCCCCAAGAGCCCCCCTTTCACCTCGGGGGTCCGTGTGATCCCCCCCCGGTACCTGCATGGAGCGCAGGCAGCCCCGGCGGAACCGGGTGCTGGTGCTCCCGGTCACCACGGCCGTCACCGCGTCCAGCGCGACACAAAGGGACCGTGCCAGGCGCTGTTGGGCCTGCAGGATGGGAAGGGGGGGTTCAATGGGGGTGCTGGTGTCGTGTCCCCCCGTCCCCCCCCACATGTGTGGCACCCACCTCATGCCGCCGACGCAGCTCTCCCAGTATGGGGTGGACGAGGGTCCGGAGCCCGCGGGCCAGCGCCGAGCGGCTGCTCCACAGCGTCTGCTCCAGGTGCTGCAGCAGCACCAGGCGGGTGCCTGTGGGGACAGGGGATAGATGGGGACAGCCCCGGAGCATAGGGGCACCCCTGAACAATGGGGATGCCCCCAGACCATGGGGACATCCCTGTATGACAGAGACATCCCCAAGACCAGGGGGACACCCCTTGGACCATTGGGACACCCCTGTATGACAGAGACACCCCCAAGACCATGGGGACACCCCTTAGACCATGGGGACACCCCTGTATGACAGAAACACCCCCAGACCATGGGGACACCCCTTAGACCATGGGGATACCCCTTAGACCATGGAGACACCCCTGTATGACAGAAACACCCCCAAGACTATGGGGACACCCCTTAGACCATGGGGACACCCCTGTATGACAGAGACATCCCCAAGACCATGGGGACACCCCTTAGACCATGGGGACACCCCTGTATGACAGAGACATCCCCAGGACTATGGGGACAACCCTTAGACCATGGGGACACCCCTGTATGACAGAGACACCCCCAAGACTATGGGGACACCCCTTAGACCATGGAGACACTCCTGTATGACAGAGACACCCCCAAGACCATGGGGACACCCCTTAGACCATGGGGACACCCCTGTACGACAGAGACATCCCCAAGACTGTGGGGACACCCCTTAGACTATGGGGATACCCCTGGACAATGGGGACACCTCTGTATGACAGAGACACCCCCAAGACCATGGGGACACTCCATAGACCATGGGGACACCCCCAAGACCATGGGGACACCCCATAGACCATAAGGACACCCTTGGACAATGGGGACCCCACCAACCTCAGCCCCCCCCTCCAGCCCCACTCACTGGCATCATACGCCTGGAAGGGGTCCTCGTGCTGGAGGAAGAGGAAGAGCAGGAGACTCTGGGGGTGCTGGTCCCCATCGGGGCCACCGGCTCCCTGCTGCACTGTGTAGGTGGCATCAGGGGTCACCAGCTCTGCAGGGACAAGATGGGGGGCACTGGGGGTGCTGCCACAGGTAGGACCCCCCCCTTGTTGTCACCAGACACCCCCCCTCACCTTCTTGCCCCTCTCTCTGGGCATGGGGGGCCGCGGTGAAGCCGAATTGCTCCCAATCCGCCATCCAAGAGGGATCCTGGAAGAACCGGGGCGCCGCGGCCGGGAGCCCCACAGGGTCATACAGGAACAAGTGGCCACGGTCAAGGACAACAGCCTGGCCCCATGTGTGCCCCCCCCCCGCCTCACACCCCAGTTCCCTCCCAGATCCCACCGGGAACACCGGGATATGGTGATGGTGTCGAGGCGGGAGGGCCGGTTGGGGGCCCGGCGCAGGCAGGGGCACAAGGCGGCTGCAGGGACCAAGCTCAGCTCCCCCCCGAGCCCTGCGGCCACCGCAGGGGGGGGCACCCGCAGGCAGATGGGGGGTCCCAGTGTGGGGTGGATCCTGCTGCAGGGGGGGGCACCCCCAGGGGCTGCTGGACTGGAGATGCGGGAGAGATGGGAGGAGGGTGCTGGGTCCATCCGGATGCAGCTCAGGATGTGCAGCAGCCCCCGGGACAGCCCCCAGGGATTATGTCCATGTCCTGCTGACACCCCCCCTCCGCCACCCCCTCTGCATCCTGGGGACCCTGAGCCACCCGCTGCCCATCCCATGAGCCCTGAGCTGCCCTGGCATGGCCCCATCCTGTCGTTATCCCCATCCCATCCCCATCCCTGTCTTCTTCCCTGTCCCCATTCCATCACCATCCTGTCCCCATTCCCATCCCTGTCCCCATTCCATCCCCATCCAGTCCCCATCCCCATCCCTGTCCCCATTCCATCCCCATCCTGTCCCCATCCCCATCCCTGTCCCCATTCCATCCCCATCCTGTCCCCATCCCCATCCCTGTCCCCATTCCATCCCCATCCTGTCCCCATCCCCATCCCTGTCCGCATTCCATCCCCATCCTGTCCCCATCCCCATCCCCATCCCTGTCTTCATCCCTGTCCCCATCTTGTACCCATCCCCATCCCTGTCTTCATCCCTGTCCCCATTCCATCCCCATCCTGTCCCCATCCCCATCCCTGTCCCCATTTCATCCACATCCTGTCCCCATCCCCATCCCTGTCCCCATTCCATCCCCATCCTGTCCCCATCCCCATCCCTGTCCCCATTCCATCCCCATCCTGTCCCCATCCCTGACTTCATTCCTGTCCTTTACCTATTCCCATCCTACCCTCATCCCCATCCTCTCCCCATCCCCATCCCTGTCTTCATCCCCATCCTTTACCTATCCCCATCCTACCCTCATCCCCATCCTGTCCCCATCCCCATCCTTTACCTATCCCCATCCTGTCCCCATCCCTGTCTTCATCCCCATCCTTTACCTATCCCCATCCTACCCTCATCCCCATCCTGTCCCCATCCTCATCCTTTCCCTATCCCTATCCTTTCCCTATCCCTATCCTTTCCCTATCCCCATCCCAATCCTGTCCCCATTCCGTCCCCATTCCATCAACAACCTGTCCCCATCCCCATCCCTATCTTCATCCCTATCCTTTACCTATCCCCATCCTGTCCCCATCCCTGTCTTCATCCCCATCCTTTACCTATCCCCCTCCTACCCTCATCCCCATCCTGTCCCCATCCCCATCCTTTCCCTATCCCTATCCCCATCCCAATCCTGTCCCCACCCTGTCCCCATTCAATCCCCATCCTGCCCTAATCCCCATCCCATCCTACAGTGCGAAGTGCCAGCTCTGGACCCGCAGCCTCACTCCCTCCATTGTCCAGGCGCTCTCCCTCCTGCAGAACACAGGGACAGAGCTGGCACTGGCTTGGGACCCCCCCGAACCCCCCCATGGGGTCCTAGGTTGGGGGTGTCCATAGGATGTGGGGGTCCCCAGAGTGTGGGGGTGTCCATGGAGTCTCACCCATAGCTGTGCGAGGCCACGGCTCCATTCATGCTGACACACAAGTGAAACTCCACCTGGGGGGGGGGTGGTGGGGTGGGGGGGGGTTCAACGTTGGGACCCCCCCAGGTGCACCCCAATGTGTGTCCCCCCCCCAGTGCTGGTACCTCGGGGTGCACCACGCTGGCCTTGTGCAGAAACCGCCGCAGCCACACACAGTCGGGGGGGGCGCAGAGCTGGGGTGGGGGGCACGGGGAGGTGGGGTGGGTACCCCAAAGCCCCCCCCCACCTCTGGGGGGTGGGGTGTGTCCTGCTGCTTCACCCCAGTTTGGGGAGACAACGCCAGCCCTGCCAAGGGACTGGGACCAGTTTGGGGGCTGCTGTGGGTATTGGGGATCTGCCTGCCCCCCCCCATGACCCCATTTTGTCACACCCCCCCCCCCCAAAACCAGGCCACCCCAGTTATATTTATCCACTTGCCCTACTTGTGGCGGGGGCCAGAGCTCCCCCGGGGGCCCCGGCCCCAATTCTGCCCCCCCCCCCCCCAGGTCACCCTGTGTGTGGGGAAGGAGAGCAATGTGGGGGGGGGGGGGATTGAGGGACACCCCCCCCCTCACCTGAAAGGCCAAACGCAGGCGGGCCCGGTGCAGGATGCGGCCGCAGCACGGAGCAGGGACATGGGGCACCCCCGGCAGCACCCCCAGAGTGGCTGTGGGGTGGGGTGTGGGGGGGGCACAGTGAGGAGCCCCCCGATGTGTGTGTGGGGGACCTGCACTTTTGGGGGGGGGGGGGGGTCCTACCTCCCAAAAGGGCTTCGGTGTCGATGCCACGGGTCAGGTCCCCAGCAGCCGCCACTACAGGGACAAAAGGGGGGGGATTGGGGTCCCCCTAAAGCCCCCCCCCCCCCCAAAACCCCCTTCCTTCGCCCCCCCCCCCCCACCGGTGATGGTGCAGCCGGACTGGGCCGTGTCCCCCTCTGCTGCCAGGGCCACCAGCAGGGACCCCCCCTTCTGCTCCGCGCTGCTGGGGGGGGCCAGGACCAGGAGGAGCCGCTCCAGAACCTGCGGGGACAAACGGGGTGGGGGGGACCCCAAGAGACCCCCAGCCCCATTAGTGACCTTTGACCCCAACAGTGACCCCCCCCCCCACTGTGACCCCAGGGACCCCCCTCACCGAGCACAAGGCCTGCTCCGCCATGTTGTGCCCCCCCACTCCCGCGAGCGCCCCCTGGCGGCGTGGAGGAGGGGGGGGGGTGGTCACTATGGCAACAGGAGGGGGCAGAGCCCCTCCCTCCCGTGGGCGGGGCCAGCGGAGCCGCGTCGCCACGGCAACCGGGGCGGGCGCTTCCACCTGGTGGTGGTGGTGGGGGGGGGGTAACCATGGTGACAGCGGGCAGGTCGAACGGTGTGAGGGGAGGACATCTGGGTCCACCCCGGGGGGGGGAGGATGATGCATGGGGGGATATGGGGCAGCCCCCCCTCAGTCCCGGCGTGTATATGTGTGTGTGTCCCTCCCGGTACCGGTGACACCCCCCCCCCCCCCACCCCGCGGTGGTCCCGCCCCCCTCCCCGGTGCCTCTGTGGCCCCGCCCCTGGCCCCGCCCCTCCCGCCGCGGGTGTGATGAGCTGCCGCGGCCTCAGCCCGCTCCGGCACCGCAGCGCAGGTAGGACCGGGACGGCAACGGGGACGACAACGGGAACCGGAGGGGGGTGTGAGGGGGGGGGGAAATCACACCGGGAAGACCCCCCACACACACACCCCCGCCACCATCCCGCACTGCATCCCCCGTCCCCGCATCATCCCCCCCCCCTCCCCGCCACTGCGGCAGCCGCTCCGGTCCCCGCAGCACCGGGCAGGGCCCGTTCGTGTCCGTGTGTCCCGTCCCCCCCCCCCGGCTTTGTCCCGGGTGCCCCCGGTGCTGCGGGGCCTTGTGTTTGGGGGGGGGGGGGCACAAGCGTGTCCGAGTCCTCCCCCCCTTTCCCGGTGCGGGGGTCCGGCCGCTGATCCCGCACTAAGAGCATTAAGCTGCCGCCGGTGGAAGGGGGGGGGGGTGTGCAGGGAATGGGGGGGCAAGGACCGGGGATGGGACCTGCACAGGGACCGAAGGGGAGCCCCGGGGGGGGGGGGGACGGGGACGGAGAGGATGGGGGTGTCCTTGTGGGAGTTTGGGAGGCCCTGGAAGGGAAGGGGGGGTCACTGAGTGCTCAGGGGTCTCTTGGGAGGATGAGGGGGGGGGCTCACAGGTACGAGGGGTCTTTCGGGGGGGGGGCTCAAACATTGCTGGGGTCTGTCACAGGGTGGGGGGGGTCCTTCTGATTTGGGCCCCCCCCCTGGTTAAGGGGATGTCCGTTATGGTTTGGGGGGGATCTATGTGCTGTGTCTCCACCTCAGGTCTAGGGGGGGGAGCTCAAAGACTGAGGGGTCCCTCTTGGTTTATGGGGCTCTCTTTTGGTTTGGGGGGGGTCCCTCTCTTGGTGCCCTGTGCACCCTCCTCAGCCCTTGGGAGCTTCCTCCCTGTTTTGGGGAGGTCCTTGACAGATTGGGGGGGGCCTCTCCTGGCTTTGGGGTGTCCCTGTTTAGCATGGGGGGGTCCATCTCCTTGGGGGCCATGGGGGGAGTCACCTCCACCTGCCCCGTCCCCTCTCCATGTGCCCCTTATCCATGCGCATCCCCCAGCCCCCCCAGCGACAGGGGGATCCCCCCTCAATGATGGGGGGGGGGATACAGGACCCCTCCCCGGTGACAGGGCCCCCCCATAGGGCCGCCATGTTGTCCCCCCCGGCTTATGACAGCCTGGAGCTGCAGCGGCAGTACGGAGACGTCAACAACCGCTGGGACAACGAGGAGGAGGAGGAGGAGGGTGACCATGAAGGCAGCTCTGCCCGGCGCTTCGAGCGCTCCCGCATCAAGGCCCTGGCCGGTACGGGGGGGGGTCAGCACCCCAAAACATCGGGGGGTCCCCAAAACCAAAGGGGGGGGCTCAAGAATGTGGGGGAGCACCCTAAAAATGAGTGTGGGGGTTGCTGAAATGTGATGGATGAGCAGGAAAGGGAGGAAGGCTTCAGAATACGGGGGTTACCCCCTCAAAATATAGAGGTGAACTTCAAAGATATGGGGGGTACCCAGAGATGTGGAGCAACCTCAGGACATTGGGAGTGCACCCCAAAAGATAGGGGAAACCCCAAGACATGGGGGGGGCGTCCCAAAAATGGGGGCACCCCAACATATGGGGTAAGCCCCAAAGATGGGGAGGAGTACATCAAAATATAGGAGGACATCCCCAAATTTGGGAGCACCCCAAAAAGGGAAAGTGCCTCAAAATATCGGGGGGCGCCCCAAAAATGGGGTTGTTCCCAGATGGGGGGGAGACCCCCAAAATATAGAGGGACATCCCCAAATGTAGGGAGGGGACCCTCAAACACAGAGGGGGCACCCCTAAACCGGGGGGGGACACCCAGAATATGGGGAGTATTGCAAAGCATGGGGGTGCCCCCTAAAATGAGGGGGGCACCCCAAAATTGAGGGGGGGTAAAAGATGGCGGTTGGGGGGGGCAGCAGCGCTGGTGGGGTTGGGGGGGCACAGGCACCCCCGGACCCCCTTGAAAGGGGTCTCCTTTCTGCACCCCCCCAGCACACACACACAGAGTGCATGCACAGCTGTGCACAAGGGCATACGCACAGGTGCATACATGCAACACACGTGTACATCTGTACATGTAACATGTGTACAGATGTATGTGCAACACGTGTACACCTGTACATGGGGCACACGTGCACCTCTGTACATGTAACACGTGTGTACAGATGTATGTGCAACACACGTGTACACCTGTATATGGGGCACACGTGTACACCTGTACATGTAACACGCGTGTACCCCGTATGTGCAACACACGTGTACATCTGTACATGTAATGTGTGTACAGATGTACGTGCAACACACATGTAGACCTGTACATGGGGCACACGTGTACCTCTGTACATGTAACACCTGTGTACAGATATATGTGCAACACGTGTACACCTGTACATGGGGCACTCGTATACACCTGTACATGTAACACGCGCGTACACCTGTACATGGGGCACATGTGTACACCTGTACATGTAACACGCACGTACAGTTATATGTGCAACACACGTGTACACCTGTATATGGGGCACTAGTGTACACCTGTACATGTAACATGTGTGTACCTGTATATGGGGCACTCGTGTACACCTGTACATGGGGCACACGTGTACACCTGGACATGTAACACACGTGTACACCTGGACATGTAACACACGTGTGTACCCGTATATGGGGCCCTCGTGTACACCTGTACATGGGGCACACGTGTACATCTGTACATGTAACATGTGTGTACCTGTATATGGGGCACTCGTGTACACCTGTACATGTAACACACGTGTGTACCTGTATATGGGGCACTCGTGTACACCTGTACATAGGTAACGTGTGTACATCTATACATGTAACACGTGTGTACCTGTATATGGGGCACTCGTGTACACCTGTACATGTAACACACGTGTACATCTGTACATGTAAGATGTTTGTACCTCTATATGGGGCACTCGTGTACACCTGTACAGGTAACACATGTGTATACCTGTATATGGGGTCCTCGTGCACACCTGTACATGGGGCACACGCCTGCATCTATACCCGCAACACACGTGTGCATCTGTACATGGGACACCCGTGCACACCTGTACATGGGACACGTGTGCACCCGTACATGGGACACACGTGTGCACCCGTACATGGGACACACGTGTACACCCGTACATGGGACACCCGTGCACACCCGTACATGGGACACCCGTGCACACCCGTGCACACGCCCCCCCCCCCGCAGTGTACATCCATGTCCCTGCGCACCCACACACGTGCACACGCCTGCACACACGTGCACACGCCTGCACACACGTGCACACGCACACGCCGAGCAGTCAGACCTGTTTGGATCCGCGCTCCCAGCGCCGCCCTCGCCCCGTCCGGCCCCCGCCGCCACGGGCCGGCCCCACAGCTCCGTCCCGAGCCCCACAGCACCCGCCGGCCCCACAGCACCGCCCTCCCCCTCCCGGTCCCGTAGCACTTCCCCCCCCCCCCCACCCTCCCCAGCCCCACAACCATGGCCCAGCGTCCCCCCGGGCCCCCCAGCGCCGCCAACCTCGAGCTCCACGGCGTCCTCGAGGGACGCTTCAAGCAGCTCCAAGGTGAGACACCCCCCCCCCCCCCAAAATGGGACCCCCCCATAGCGATGGGGACCCCCCGGGCCCTGCAGGACCCCCCAGATTCCTCCCGGGACCCCATCCCCTCAAGTCCTTCTGTGCTCCCCCCCACCCCATGCTCCCTCCCCCAGTTCCTGCTCCCCCCCCCCCCCGCCGGTCCCTATTGGTGACCCTGGGCCCCTCTAGAACTCCCATGGGGCTCCCCAGAGCCTAGAGGTGACACCGAGCTCCTCCCCGGCCCCATAGATTCTCCCCAGTTGTGCTCCCCAAACCCTACAGACTCCCTGGAGTCTTCCCTGGCCCTATAGATCCTGCCCGCTCCCCCCCGCCCCAGTCCCTATAGGGCTGCTCACAGCCCCACAAACCCCTTCAGGGTCCTCCGGGGACCTGTTGGTACTTCCGGACCCTATAGACGCCCCCTCGAACTTATAGAACCCTCCCCGGGCCCTATAGGCTCCTCCCCCCGACCCCTATAGGTGTGTTCCAGGACCCTATAGGTGTTTCTCAGCACCGTCTGTGTGTCCATTGAGGCTCTATAGGTGCTCCCCCCACCCCATAGGTGCCCCCCCCCAAGCCCCTATAGATCCCTCCAGGTTCCCACGAGCCTCCCTGAAACCACCCCCCCATCACCCGCACCCCGAAACCGGCGCACCCAGAGGGTGACGCCCGACACCCCCGGGCCCGGGGGGGGGGGGGGGAGCACCCTAAAACCTGGGTCCCCTCCTTACCTTGAGGTGTGGGTGCAAAACGAACACCACCCTCCCCCCCACCTTGGCCTGGGACCCCTCAGCTGGGGTGGGGGGGCCCCCTGAGGATACTGGTGATGGGGCAGCCCCATGCGGCCGGTGGGGTCCCAGGTTTCCAGGGGGGTCCCGTGTGTCCGGGGCGGGGGGGGGCCCATGTGTCCGGTCTCGCTCCCTGCCCCCCCCCGTGATTCCCAGAGCCTGGACTCTGCTCCGGTCTCAGCTGAGCAAACAGGGATGGAGGGGGGGGGGTGTTGGTG